GGAAAATTGACAAAATTGAAAAAAGAATCCCTGTGTATATGTGTGTGTGTATAAGGCTGATAGACAATATTTTCTTCCTTTCTTCTTCCTTTCTTCTTCCTTTCTTCTTCCTTTCTTCTTCCTTTCTTCTTCCTTTCTTCTTCCTTTCTTCTTCCTTTCTTCTTCCTTTCTTCTTCCTTTCTTCTTCCTTTCTTCTTCCTTTCTTCTTCCTTTCTTCTTCCTTTCTTCTTCCTTTCTTCTTCCTTTCTTCTTCCTTTCTTCTTCCTTTCTTCTTCCTTTCTTCTTCCTTTCTTCTTCCTTTCTTCTTCCTTTCTTCTTCCTTTCTTCTTCCTTTCTTCTTCCTTTCTTCTTCCTTTCTTCTTCCTTTCTTCTTCCTTTCTTCTTCCTTTCTTCTTCCTTTCTTCTTCCTTTCTTCTTCCTTTCTTCTTCCTTTCTTCTTCCTTTCTTCTTCCTTTCTTCTTCCTTTCTTCTTCCTTTCTTCTTCCTTTCTTCTTCCTTTCTTCTTCCTTTCTTCTTCCTTTCTTCTTCCTTTCTTCTTCCTTTCTTCTTCCTTTCTTCTTCCTTTCTTCTTCCTTTCTTCTTCCTTTCTTCTTCCTTTCTTCTTCCTTTCTTCTTCCTTTCTTCTTCCTTTCTTCTTCCTTTCTTCTTCCTTTCTTCTTCCTTTCTTCTTCCTTTCTTCTTCCTTTCTTCTTCCTTTCTTCTTCCTTTCTTCTTCCTTTCTTCTTCCTTTCTTCTTCCTTTCTTCTTCCTTTCTTCTTCCTTTCTTCTTCCTTTCTTCTTCCTTTTCCTTTTTCATGTGAATTGCTCTAATTCTTTGAGTTACTCCTGTATACCCAAAGAGCCCGTGTGATGAACTCTCTTTGCTGATTCCCTCTTTGCCCCTCAGCTGGCGTTCAGGGACAGCAGAGGCATGTATCCCCGATTCAGGTGCCGGAGCAGGGAGGGAAAGGGACGGTTTGGGTACAGCATTTTGTAGGGGAATGGAGGAACCGGCCGGCCGGGCGTGCAGGAGCAAGGTTGCCAGGCTCCGTGGGCAAGGGGCCGTGGTATGTGGGGCTGGCCGGCCGCTCAGACCAACAAAGCAGCCTGTGGCGTGGAAAGCGGGACACAAAAGGAGGAAGGAAGAGGAAGAAGGAGGCAGGGAGGACCGACAGAGGGGTGGCAAGAGGCTGAGGAAATGGGGAGCAGCAGCTCGGTGCCCAGGAGCAGCAGGTACACCGCTGGGCTCAGCAGAGTGTGCTGCGGGCCGGGATCTAGGAGGGAGCAAAAAGTCCCAAACTGCTTCCCAGGAGATTTGAAGGGACAGAAAGGACCTCGAAATAGCTGCGGTCATGCCAGCTAGCACCGACGGGCTGCAATCCGTGCGTTTGACATAACGTGATGGAGTTTCTCCTTTCTCACAGTAGTGCCCAGATTTGGCCTTGCTTATTGGAAACCTTCCATCCATCAGACACTCCTCGGTAGAATGTGCATTTCATCACCTTTTATTCCTGCTCTGTAGAAAACATGACTACCCATTAGTGGTATTACTAAATATTATTACTATTACATTACTATTACTCCATTAGTGCAAGTAGCAGAGATCCATCCACTGCTTTGGATTTCAGCTAGGCTAACAAGCAGTGTGGATGCCAGTATTGTGGGATGCGATGAATTTCCTTTTCTTTTTTTTTTGGTAGAAGAGACTTTTTCGGTTTGTTTTTAATCAGGATAAAAGAACACAAGCTTGCAAAGTAAACGAAAAAGTTACGAAACGCCAGAATTCAAGTTGCTTCTGCTATCCCAGTTCAGCTCGTTGTGCACGTGCCTTTAGAAACAATAATTGCATGAACAGACTTCACGTACTCGTGAGATGGACGATGCTTCCTGTGTCATAAATATATTAAAAATATATTTATGGCATGCTGTGTGAACCTCACCTAGATGACAGAATTTAATTTACTCGTGGGTTTCCGTATGGGGCTTCTCACCGCACTGCCAGAGTGCTTCATAATTGTTTGCTTCTCACTAGAGCCACAGATGAATCATCTGGAGGCATTCCTAGATTAGTCTGGGACCTAACACGCAGAAAATGCAAGGAAAAAAATTCCTTCCGCTTCTCTTGGCCAGCAGGTCAAGGGAGGTGATTCTCCCCCTCTACTCTGCCCTCGTGAGACCTCACTTGGAGTACTGCGTCCAGTTCTGGAGCCCCCAACATAAGAAGGACATGGACCAGTTGGAGGGGGTCACGAGGAGAGCCACGAAGATGATAAGAGGGCTGGAGCACCTTTCCTATGAGGACAGGCTGAAAGAGTTGGGGCTGTTCAGCCTGGAGAAGAGGAGGCTCTGGGGTGACCTTCTAGCGGTCTTCCAGTACCTCAAGGGGGCCTACAAGAAAGATGGGGAGAGGCTGTTCAGGAGGGCCTGTTGTGATAGGACAAGGGGTAATGGTTTTAAAATAGAGGGAGGTAGATTCACATTGGATATTAGGAAAAAATTTTTTACCATGAGAGTTGTAGAACACTGGAACAGGTTGCCCAGAGAGGTGGTGGATGCTCCATCCCTGGAGACGTTCAAGGCCAGGTTGGCCGAGGCCCTGAGCAACCTGATCTAGTTGGAGATATCCCTGTTCCTTGCAGGGGGGTTGGACTAGATGACCTTTGAAGGTCCCTTCCAGCCCTAACCATTCTATGATTCTATGATTCTTAGCTGCTCCATATGAAATGCTTCTGACTTGGATTTTTTCAAAAATAATACATGCGTAGTCTCAGTGGATTTCAGCTGCAGCTTTGTGTGCCAGTAGTTCACAAATCAGATGCAAATCTGAAATTGGAGAGTTAGAAAAGAAAGAGTATACTACTGGAGGTCACCTGAGGAACTCTGGGATTAAAGCTGGTCGGCGTCATGTAAGAGCTCCTTGAGGTGGGAGCAGGGATTGAATTTTTTAGGAAGACTTAACGGTATTAACCATAAAATTCCCTTCCTCTCATCTTTTTTATTTATTTTTTTTTAATCTAGCTTCTTGCCAAATTCAGTGTATTTGTCACAGAATTTGGAAATGAATCGGAGACTAAAGTCTGATTCACATATTTCAGCATTATCCATCTCATGTATTGAATGAGGCCAGAAACTGTAAACCTGGAATTTCTTGTGCTTCGGTGTCAACTCTGATATGATTACCTTCCCGTTAAAATATTTTCTTCCGTGTAATATACAGAGTAATTCATAGAATCATAGAATGGTTCGGGTTGGAAGGGACCTCAAAGATCATCCAGTTCCAACCCCCTGCCATGGGCAGGGACACCCTCCACTACACCAGGTTGCCCAAAGCCTCATCCAGCCTGGCCTGGAACACTTCCAGGGATGGGGCAGCCACAGCTTCTCTGGGCAACTATCTCCCGAGATGGAAATACAGTAACGGGAACGTATACCATGACCTGTGGCGATGGTGGGTCTGTGTAAAGTACATGTTCCTAACAACATGCTCAAGAGAGCTGCAGTCTGGACCATTACAATGCTTGTCTACACTAATTTACAACTCTCTCATCTCTTTCTTTTCTCCTCTATTCAGGATATCCTTTTGCCTTGTTCCAGCGCTATTTCCTCTTCCAGAAGGAGACCTACCTCATCCATCTCTACAATGTGTTCACAGGACTCTCCATTGCTTACTTCAATTTTGGTAAGATGAGTTTGGGCAGAGAGAGCTGCCTGGCCCAGGGCGTGCTGCGGTTTGGGAGGACCCATAATGGGAAAATGTCATTTCTACTTCATCTCTCTCTCTTTCCCGTCCCACAGGGATGCAGTTCTTTCATTCCCTGCTATGTGTCCTAGTCCAGTTCCTCATACTGAGATTAATGGGTCGCACAATCACTGCCGTCTTCACCACGTTCTTCTTTCAGATGGTAAAACTCTCTCTCTTACCGTGTCAGTTTGTAGAAGGGAGCCCTCTGTTCAGTTTTGCACTTCCCAGTAGCAACTGTGGGTGGAAAAGTGGAGACAGATCAAAACCAGCTGGAGGAATTAGTTTAAATAACCCGAACAATGGTTTCTTTCAGACATACCTTATGGCTGGGTATTACTTCACAGCCACAGAGCATTATGACATCAAGTGGACAATGCCACATTGTGTCCTGACACTCAAGTTGATTGGTGAGTGACACCTCCTTCCTATGTCTTCCACTCTGCAAGCCGTGCCTCAGGGAAGAGACAGGGCTTCAAATAATTGTTTCTCACCTCTAGGTCTGGCCATCGATTACTATGATGGAGGAAAAGATCCGGTGAGTGAGACACCATGTCTCCTTCCTTCCCTCCTCCCCTCTTCCTTGTCATTCCAGTGAGCTAGAGGTCAGAAAATGAAGTTCAAAGGATGCGAGTTAGCAAGCTGCATTCATTGTTTGGTAAAAGCCATAGTTGAGAGGGGAGTGTTGGTGAGTGTCTGAGGGCACTGAACTCTGGAGTGGAAATAAATCATCTAGAACAGAGACAGTAGTGATTAGAGATGGACAAAAGTCGTTTCGATTATGTCAGAATATTATTCTGCCCCCTTCCAAATCCCCCACCACCTCCTTCCCCTAAATCTGTTGCTTTAGATTCCCCATCCCTCATGCTCCGTGTCTTGTGGGCAGCGTACCTTCAACTTGCAGACCGTCAGCACTGGATCCCAGTTCCCATCTTCCTTTCCTTCGTTTAGTCTTACCATGTCCTTGTGGATGGTTGCCCTTTACCATTTGTTACGGCCCCGGCTTTAGAGCAGTTGAAACAGTGGGAGAAGTCGCACGTCACAGTGTGTGGGAGAGGACACAACACTTGCTACAGACACTTAATCCTTCTCCAAGTATCTGTGTTCCTTGTCTCCTGTTTGGGGCCTGACCTGGTCTGTAGCGTCCATGGAATCACTGCTGACTGCAAGGACACAAGGTTGAGCTGAAATTTCCTAAGCTGAAGTTTCAAGTATTTACAGCCAAGGAATTCTTGCATCAAAAAGTAGGAATTGTAGGACGTTAAGGTCTTGGGAGAGCACATGCAATTGCAGGCAGGGACTGGTAGAGGTCAGATACTATGCTGGTGGGGATGCGTGTCAACAGATCCCTTCCATGTTTTGAGCTGATTTGGGAATAGAGATCTGTGCCACTGGTCTCAACCATTGGATCTTGTTGCTGTTTAGAGGAGGGGGGATAGAGAGGGCTGGGGAGAGGAATGGACATGAAGTACGAAGTGTAAAGTTCCATATAGGTGGAGAGCAAGAACTGAGACTGTTAAGGAGGTAGGCTGAGAACACAGCGTCCAGAGCTACTATGAGATCCCCTAGGATGATGTTAATGCCACTCCCTTTGGTGCAGGAGTTGCTGACCCCTGAGCAGCGGCGCTTTGCTGTCCGGGGAGTTCCCACCTTGCTGGAGGTCTCAGGATTCTCCTATTTCTATGGTGCCTTCATGGTGGGGCCTCAGTTCTCCATGACAGACTATCAGAAACTGGCAAGGGGTGAGATGACTGACGTTCAAGGCCAGAGACCCAATAGGTAATAAAAAGCCACTTAGCTCCTCACCTTCCTAAGATCCCAGAATGCTGAATCCTCCACGTATTCCCTGCAGCAGAGTGCTTTCTTACCTGGACACTAAAGTACTGTGACCAAAAGTGATTTCTAAGACAAGGCAGTCTTTCCAAAGTTGCTCAAAACTCTCTGCTTAATGTCCTAGCATGGTTCCAGGGCATGAACATCAACAACTGTTGGACATCTTTAGTACCGACTCGGTCCCAGCCTGGTAATGGTGCTACCCTAGATTCCAAACGGAGGCATCTGCTGCAGTGGAACGTGGTGACTCCTTATCGCTACCTCCCCTACCTCCTCCTCTCCACTTCTGTTTTTAAAATTATGAGTTTGAAGGTTCTCTTTCCAAAGCTTTTCTTTGACCTGCTTGTTTTTCTTTCAGTTTTGTGCCTGCTCTCAAGCGCCTGAGTCTGGGTCTCTTGTTCCTAGTGACCTATACCTTGTCAAGCCTGTACATCTCTGATGAATACCTCATCTCAGATGATTATATGGTAGGTATGCATCTGGCAGTTCTGGGCCATGGAAGAATTCCACATGTCTGAAGGGCACTGGATCTAGTAGATTTTTTAAATTTTTTTTTTTTTCAGTTTTGCCTCAATTTAAAAATAAGATCAATCAGCAAGTAGTGATAAGCCTTTCCACAAAGGATTTGGCTTTACTGCCTGCCCTGTGCATTCCAATTGATGCAGAACAGGAATGAACTGAACCAAATGAAAACTTTTACAAGCAGAGAATTAATCTTAGATGCTCCTGTTGGTTTTGGAAACCTAACATACGTATTTTGTGACCTTTTAATGACCTGCCATTTAACCATCACATGCAAAGAGCTTCACTACAGTAACTTGCAAGGCTTACTGGAATCTTTGAGGTTCTTGGACAACTCGTAACAAGTAATTCCTACCTGCAGATTATCAGTGTTTCTGTGTCAGTATGAATAAATGAGGGTGTAAATTCCACGATGATTATGCTAATCCCAGAGTTTTCCCAAAAAGTACCTATTTCAGCACAGCCAAATGTTACCAAAGGAAGGGGAATGATGTGTAAACGTGCAAAACCCAATAGCCTGGCAGTCCCGGCCATACAGCAGTCTCCACACAGCAGATTCAAATGGAAGACAGTGATGAGATCTCATCTTCCTCGTCTCATTATTGCCACCCAACTCCGTTTCTAATTTTTATTCTGTTTCACTCTTACCTCTGCAGGAGAAGCCTTTCTGGTTCCGTTGTGGTTACATATTGATCTGGGGCAAAATTATACTCTACAAATACGTAACTTGCTGGCTCGTTACGGTGAGTCTAGACGTTGTTCCAAAAGCAAGAGACAAACGAGCAAAGGTCACACCTTTGCAGCCACTTAGTATGCTCTTGGACTTAGCACTAAGTGGAAGTAATCCAAATATCTGGAGATGAGTGCAGGTCAGTTCAGCTTGCTTCACGTTAGCAAAGGCTAGCTAACTGAAAAGCAGGCAGTTTTTAATCCATTTGTTCCATCTGCAGTGGTGCTCTCCACTCAACACAGTGAGAGTCAGAGCTTCCCCAGCTCTGCCTTTCCAAAAAAAAACCAAACAGAGGCAATGTTTTCCTCTCATCTTTCTTGTGAATCTTCTTCCATAGGAAGGCGTCTGCATCCTTGTTGGTCTGGGGTACAATGGGAAGGACCAGAATGGAAAGCCTTTGTGGGATGCCTGTGCCAACATGAAGGTCTGGCTGTATGAGACAACACCTTTGTTCACAGGGACCATTGCTTCTTTCAACACCAACACCAATGCTTGGGTGGCCCGGTGAGCAGGATGGAATTCCCTTTCTGTAGCGTGTCGGTAACGTCTGCGTCAACAGAACCCTCCTAGGGATCTGAGAGGGAGCACTAGAGGAAGAATTTGCCAGTTTTCAGTTCTCAAACTCTTTTTTGCCACGTTTTGCTGCTGTGCCATTTGAAACAGGTTACTGCGTTAGATCTTAGGGCAGTTCATTAATGCAGGCAAGCAGTTGGTGGCAGCAGGAGGGCAGAGGCTGGGATGGGACTACAAAGAGCCCTTCAGCCTGCCTGGTCAAACAGCTGCAGAACGGCTCTAACAGCTGGTTCCTACACCATGGAATGGTTTGGGTTGGAAGGGACCTTAAAGATCATCTAGTTCCAACCCCCCTGCCATGGGCAGGGACATCTTTCACTAGATCAGATTGCTCAAAGCCTCATCCAACCCGGCCTTGGACACTTCCAGGGATGGGGCAGCCACAGCTTCTCTGGGCAACCTGTGCCAGTGCCTCACCACCCTCAGAGGGAAGAATTTCTTCCTTAGATCCCATTGAAATCTGCCCTCTTCCAGTTTAAATCCATTGCCCCGTGTCCTGTCACTACACACCCTTGTCCAAAGCCCCTCTCCAGCTTTCCTGTAGCCCCTTTAGGTACTGGAAGGTCTCCCGGGAGCCTTCTCTTCTCCAGGCTGAACAGCCCCAACTCTCTCAGCCTGTCTCCATAGCAGAGGTGCTCCAGCCCTCTGCCTCCTGATGCTCCCTGTGTGATGACTCAACTGGGTTTTGGTTCGGCATTTGCTGGGACACACAAGTGAACTTTAAAGACAATTTCCGTGTGCGTTGTCAGACGAGCTGCTGTGCCCGTTAGCTGGGATTTCTGTAAGACAAGGGCTGAGGTACCTTTTGCCCTGGGTAAGGAGAGCTGTCTCGCTTTCCGTCACCGCAGGGCGTGCAAAGGTGTACGGTCCCCTGGGCCCGGCATCTCTGACATGGAGAGGGGAGGACAGACAATAAACTAGAAGCACTTTGTTTCTTTTCTGCTCTAGCTACATCTTCAAGCGTCTGAAGTTCCTGGGTAACAAACTGCTGTCACAGGCACTGGCCCTGTTCTTCCTGGCCGTTTGGCACGGGCTGCACTCTGGCTACCTGGTGTGCTTTCAAATGGAGTTGCTTATAGTCATCGTTGAAAGACAGGTGCGCTTTGTCTGACTTAGCAGAGTGGGGTGGCCTGCCTTAGCCTTCCCCCGTGAGTCTGGAAGCTGCCACGCTGAAGGCTTTGCTTGGATTAAATATGAAAAAAATAGCTGCTCCCTTAGGAATTAGTTTTCAAACGCGACACGGTTCTGTTCTCGACGAGTTCAGTAGGTTGCTGGCTTCTGCACAGGCAAGCTGTAAATTTATTGCAGAAGCTGAGAGGAAGAAAAGTGGAGAACGTGGCATGAGTAGAGGGCAACTGAAGTGCTTGGCAGCTGGAAAGGTTGGAGGACAAGCACGTGTCCTCCGTGTACAAGATCTCCCAGTACGGAGAGAACAATGTTCCATATTTAAACTGGTTTTTTTTAATTAAAACTTTGAGTAGGATGGGATACCTAGCTACTTTTTTGGACTAACTGCTTACTAAAATTCGTTTTACGCAGCTGGATAGATGCTTTGGCCCCAGAGCCTGCACATACAGCTGTAAGACATCCAACTGAGGAGAATTCTGTTTATTCTTTAAATCAGGCCATAAACCTTGTTCGGGACAGCCCTCCCCTAAGCGCTTTGGCCTCCATCACTGCCTTGCGGCCCATCTTCTACGTGCTGCAGCAGACTAACCACTGGATGTTCATGGGTTACTCCCTGGTGCCGTTTTGCCTTTTCACCTGGGACAAGTGGATGAAGGTATTTGGTAGCCGCAAACAGACAACCCGTGCGACCAATCCTTTTCCCTCCGTGCCTCCTCCTACGTCCTTGGCTCAAAGCTGCTTGCTGATCCTTCACCCTGCCCTTCTCTTTGCAGGTGTACAGGTCTGTGTATTTCCTTGGCCATGTGATGTTCTTCACCTTATTACTGGTGTTGCCTTACATTCGCAGATTAATTGTGCCACGAAAAGAAAAGCTAAAAAAAGCAGAATAACAGCCAAAAGGTAAGGCTGTACTATGCAGAGAATCCCATGCTTGGGCTAGGAAGAGAAGCGGGGCAGCAATGTTACATCCCGAGGCGAAAGGCAAGCAAAACCCACCAAACCAAACGTAGCCCTTTTCTCTTTTTCAGATTATACCACCTGTGCATTTGTAGGAGTCGATTTAACACTCCAGAAGCAAAGCATCACCTGCCACGTTTGCTGTGTTGAAGTATGACTTTTTGTCAACGCAAGGAGGGGGAAAGGGAAAGCACAGGGTCAGAGACCCGAAAGGAGGGGAACGGAGTGAGCCTCCTTCCAGATCCTCCACCTTCTGTATGTTGCCTTATCTCTCTGCCGCCCTCCGAGGACACTCGTGTCTCTCCGCTGACGATTGTAAAACACTCAAGGCAGGCACTGTATTGGATTGGAGCCACCTTCTGACTTTTCTACGTTTGTCATCCAAGATAAAAATTGCTCCTGGTCTTTTTCATATCGGCTTCAGCTCCTTTCCTCTTGGGTGCCTCGGTGTGAATCACCGAGCAAGGTGATTCTACAGGACCGAGTAACTCCAGGAGCAGGGCACAGCTGAGAATTTCAGTGCTGGGACAGATACAGGCCGAGTCCCTGCTATAAAGGGATCAAGCCTGCCCACGTATTCCACATGAGAAAGTAAAATACACAAGCACCCTTATCAAAAGTGACCTTTAATAGGAGGAAAAAAGGTCAGTGGAGCAGTCCGTTTTAAAAGTCTCATTGCTCCAGAAGCTACAAGGATGAAATCAAAGCCTTCTCCCTTCCAGGGGCCCAAAGTTGCACCAGGTCCACACCTAGGTAAAAGAGCCTCTCCAGAACACGGAGTCACTGCATAGGAGTCCACCTTGACAGCAGTAGCAGCAGCTCATACTACTCCCCACACTTCCTCAAAGGCAGTAGTAATTTTAGCACATGTCAGGGCAGCAGAGAGGGGATAGTTGCTGATGGAGACCATCTTTTCTGTGTAGTCAACGTTGACCTAGAGGAAGAGAGAGAAAAAAAAAAAAAAACACACAAAAAACACAAGCTGCAAGGTTTCATAGAATCATAGAATGGTTAGGGCTGGAAGGGACCTTCAAAGGTCATCTAGTCCAACCCCCCTGCAAGGAACAGGGATATCTCCAACTAGATCAGGTTGCTCAGGGCCTCGTCCAACCTGGCCTTGAACGTCTCCAGGGATGGAGCATCCACCACCTCTCTGGGCAACCTGTTCCAGTGTTCTACAACTCTCAAGTGTTTTCACTTAGTCCCATCTATCTCCGTTGGTTGGAGAGGCACAGCGTTTCTCCAAGGTTGAACATAGCCACGATAAAACGTGGCAGGACAACTGCCAGCCCCTACTAGTGCCCCCTCGCAGGAGGGAGAAAAGTCCCAAGTGTTGCAGCATTGGGCCTTTTTTTGACAAGCCTACCTGGGGGGGCTGGGGAAGGGGAGGTGGGCCAGGGGCAACCAAGCAAAAAAGAGCAGGAGAAAAAAACCCCCACACTGAAATCTCTGCTGATAAAAAGATTTTTACAACTCCAGGTGAGGGATACGTGCACTTACCGAACCGTGGGCAAAAGCTCCCACGACAACGGCAACTGGCTCCGCTGCAGGAACCAGTTCACGCAGATCTGAGACCTTTGGAACTGCAAAAGAGGTACCTATCTTCATACAGCCCACAGGGAGATGATCGCTGACGGGATTTTTAATCACCTACAGAAAGCAGGAAGTTAATAGGGACGTAGAGGTAAGAGACCCCGCCACACGGCTATGTGGCCGTGGTTTGTCCAAAAAAAAAAAAAATCATTCCTACAAACTGCAAAGGAGGAATGTGGCAACATTTCCTGCGAATAGTCCAAGATCATTTACCTTCAACAATTTCTGAGGCCCATCAGCTGCTCGAACGCTGAGTTTATGCAGCAACTGAACTGACAAGAGAAGAAAATTAGTTAATCTGTCTGTTCTTCTGCCAGAGGAATCCTATCCTCTAACTAGTGAGTGGAGCTGAAGTAGACAAAAAAAGTATTTTAATTTAAGAGTTCCCAGCGTCTTCTATAGTGGTCCTAAAAAGTACCACTCAAGTTATTTTGCTGCTAGCAGCCTCGTGCAGGCACTCTCCACCGCACTAAGGAATGCAGAGTTGGACTGTGCACCCTGGAATTCACAAAAAAGACACTTTCATTTCTCTGCTCTTTTCTCACTTTCACATTTTTTTAAGGTTGGTGCAGCTTTTTCACTCTTCCCAAAATTCTTTCACTCTTTCACCACCTTCCTGCATCATTCTGTGGCTGGTATAAAGTTCGAATCGCTCACCCATGAGACCACAGAATCGATCAAAAGTTCTTGGGATCCTAGTTTGAGGATTGACTTCGATTAGAACATTCTTCTGGGTGTGGATATAAACCTGCAGGAGACCAGCCCGGTTCAGCGGGCTGTCCATGAGCATCAGGAGACTCTGAAACAGGAAAACAAGCAGCAGTGGAAATCAAAAAGGTGGAAGGGAGAGGATTCTTGGAAAAAGCGAGGGATACACCCCGGGAATGCAGCAGGCGCTGGTGTTGACACAAAAAGGAGCTCATGGCCGCGCCAGCTCTGCTGTAACGCTGCCAGAAGGCAACCCCGTATCCAAATAAAAGAGAATTCCTAAACTTCCGAACCGCTTAGCGCGTAAAATCCACACTCGCCCCCGTTCCACGAGC